TAGAATTGTCAATTTAAAATTTAAAATTTTTAAAATTTCAATTACCTCCAAATTCGAATTGTAGAAATTTAGTGCTCTTTAGAACTTTTCGTATACATGAGTACACACTTCCAAAACTACATCCCTACTCTACTCCTCAACCTTACCATTACCATTCTTAATTTCAAATGTATAACCGTTCACATGATACGAAATGGTACCAAATATAGTACATTTTGGTCCTTTTCGTTTATTCGTAGTACACATTTCCCAAAACCCAGCCTTATCTGACATTTTCGGACTGAATATCCTTCCAAACACATTTTAAGCTATTTCTAAGAATATATTTTCAAGGTCTTTAAAAGCTGTGGTCATAAATTATTATTAAGAATATCTTTTCATGCATGGCTATAGGTTGGTATAAGAGTATCGCCGTAAATTATTCTAAAATTAGTTTATAAGCTTTTTTAGAGGACACCGAGTTGGAAAACTGAAAAAACTTAACTTTTGCTCTCTCCAAAAAAATCCTTTACATCATACCTAGTGTCCTACAAGGACACTAAAAGCTCCCATCAATTGAAATCCGAACACGTACGTGACAGTCGAATAAGGATCTCTGACGTTGTTCTCGAATGTAATTTTATAGATAAATTGAATGCAAAAAAGAGATTTTTTTTCGGCCCAAAATGAAGTCGTCACTTTCATGCGGTGTTTACTTGGTTTGACGCCTGTTCCCACATTTTTTCTATTCCCACTCACAGTTTTCGAGAGTATCCTTTTACGCCCATCAAAAGGATTTGTAATTGTCAATCGCAGTGTGTAGCAGGTGGTAAGAGGGAGGATGACTAATTCAGGGTATGTTTAACTTCAGTTGCCCGTTCATTGAGTAGAGGCCACATTTTCGAGAACGAGAGAATCGGCAATGATGTGATGGCTGTGTTTTTTTGGGCGAGGGAGATTAACGTGGAAGGATACCAAAGGATTGTTATTTTTTTCCTCTACGTTGTCTGGACATTTTGCGGCTCTTCGTATAAGTTGATTCGTTATTTTTCTTTTCGTTTCTCCCTTACAACTTGTTGCCGCCTTAATTTGCTTGTTGTTATTTTTTTTTTTCCTTTTTGTTATTTTTTTCCTTTTGAGGCAGTTTCCTTGCAATTCGTTTTGCGGCTGTGGAAGTGTGAATGCTTTTTGTTGCTGTACCGAATGTCCTGTAGCTGAATTTATGTTGTTGCTGTTATTCCATAGCCATTTACTCTTCATCGTCGTTAATCTTCCATAATGAGTTGTGAAAAACAAATTCGTTGCCGCTGTCGTCACCAAAGCCATCGTCGTCGCCGTCGTTGTCCTCGCAGTCATGTCCGTCCTCATCTTGGTTTCGTCATTTGTGTTTAATTGTGTTTTGTGTGTTTCAAACAACAAGCTTCAAGTGTTCTGCACTCATTTGGGTCGTAGCGAAGCGGGCATGGCAAATACAAGGATAGAATGAGTGAAGGAAAACGGAAAATAAACAAACATCCATAAATAGAATAAAAAGTAAAAATAACACGAAACGAAACTATTGAAGGAACACAACCCGTCCAGAGATGTATGGTAGGCAAGCAGCCAGACGAAGCAAAACCCAAAATGTATTGCCGGAAAATTGCCATCCTGTGCGAGTAGTTGTGTGGGAGCTGATAACAATATTTGTACTAATTTGGCATTTTGTTAAGTGTACTTTACTGCCACTTTATCTGACACTTGATGCTCTTTTAATTGCGCGCCAAAACGTTTTTATTCAAGTGCTTCATTTCGTTCTTCAAGTTTTCACAGCTACGGCTCACTCTTTCGGCTGTTGAAGCTGTTGCTGGTGGCATTCTGTCGTTGTGTTGTCGTCGTCGTCATCCCATGGCCATACACACACGTACATATGACAAATTGTATGTACCGTAATTTTGTTTGCTGTTCATTTCGGGCACAACTATGACGTCTGCAAGGGGCTCAAGTGCCCTGGAAATCTTTTGGTGAAGTTGTCGAAATTTACTCTTTTTTCTCTTTTTTTCACAGTGATTGAAAATGAAAAAAATTGTCATCTCAAACTAAATACATTTCAAGAACTTTCATGTCCCTAATATTCTAAAGAGCTATATTCCCTGGTTTTAAAAAACAGGGTTTCAAGAACTTTTAAAGAGAAAATTTCCCAAGGATATTCCATGCTATAGGTGTGAGTTTTTCAATGACATGTTCCTCAAAGACTTTTAAAGAAACAGTTTTTAAAAGAATATTCAGATCAATAGTTCCGATTTTTTAAGAAAATAAGTCTACGATTTTCATACCCTCCACCATAGTATGGAGGGTATATTAAGTTTGTCATTCCGTTTGTAAAGCCTCGAAATATACATTTTAGACCCCACAAAGTATATATATTCTTGATCAGCATAAAATTCTATGTCAATTTACGGATGTCCGTCCGTCTGTCCGTTTATCTCTCTCTCCGTCTGTGGAAATCACTCTAGCTTCAGAACGAAATGAAGTAGATTGATAAAATTTTATCGAAATGCATATTATATTTGCAGGTCCCCATTTTGGTATAGCCCCCATACAACGGAACCTCACGATACTCGATATTTTGATGATTTTAACGACACTATTCACCGGAATTGTTTCAAATTCGGTATTTGAAGTTCGAAATGGATACTACAGCCCATGACAGGAGATTGTCTGTGCAGATCCACGTCTTCGTATAGCCCCCATATTTGGTATATTGATGTTTTTAGCGACATTATTCATCGGAATTGTTTCAAATTTGGTATTTGAAGTTCGTAATGCATACTGCAGCCTCAGGCAGATAATTGTCTGTGCAGGTTCACATTTTGGTATATCTCCCTATATATATGATATTAGCTTCATTATTAATCGCATTTGAATATTGTAATGGCTTATGACAAAAGTTGCCCATGCAGGTCCACATCGTCGTTCAGATGACGGCTACATTTGGTATTTTTAAGATTTTAACAGAATTTTTTATTGAAAATTGCCTAAATTCGATCCAAATTTTGGAGGGTATTCAAAGTTCGGCCCGGCCGAACTTACAGCTGTTTTACTTGTTATTTTGAAAACTTTGAGAAATTGAGTCGTGGATTCGTAATAAAATATTCGATAAGAACTTCTATGTTGCGGGTTTTTAGCGCATTTTTCAAAGACTCTAAATTGTAAATTTTTTAAAAAAATAAATTTATAAGTACTTTAAAAAATTAAGGACTTCGTGAATTTTTGAAAATCGTTTTAAACTCATGTTGATATAGAGAAATACTTTCAGAAATGAATGAAAGATTATTTATAGACTTTCAGAATTTAAACCAGTAGATTTTTTCAAAAAAAAAAAAATTAAGGGCAATGATTTTAGATCCTTAAAATCCTAATTTAAGACTAAATTAGATTTCAGTTATGGATTGTTATAACTTGTTTTTTACAATGACCCTTTAGCCTCAAGTCGTGGGTTTTTCAATAACTTTTTTATCAATTTTACAATTTTTTTTTACAATTTAAGACCCTAATTAGCAGATTTTTAAAAAATATTATTTGCAAGGACCTTTAGGTGGCCTCTCGTGGATTTTCAAAACTTATTATTTTCAATGATCTTCATACTTTAAGTTGAGGACTTCAAAAATAATCAAAGACTTATACAGCTTGAGTCGTGTATATTCCATGAACTGATTTTCAAGGGCTTTTACAGCTTGAGTTGTGTATTTTTCAAAAGAGTATTTTTTCATGGGCCTGTACACCTCGAGTCGTGGATTTAAAAAAGTAAAGTTTCTGAAGACGTGATTTTTTTATAATTTATTATGGTCAAAAAAGTATTATAACTTTTAAGGATTCCAAACCTTGAGTTGTGGATAATCCAAAAAAAAATAAGGGCAAGGATTTTAGATTCTATTTTTTTCAGTCGTCGTGGCTTGTTATAACTTATTTTTTACAATGACCTTCTAACCTTAAGCTCAAGGACATTTTTATCTGCAATTTTGAAGATTTTAAGTAGCGAATTTTTTAAAAATATTTTTTCAAGGTCTTGAACGCCTAATTAGTAGATTTATGAAAATTGTTATTTGCAACGACCTTTCAATGATTTTCAATGATCTTCATACCTTAAGTTGTGAATTAAAAATAAACAAAGACTTACACAGCTTGAGTCGTGTATATTTTAAAGGCTTTACAGCTTGAGTTGTGTATTTTTCAAAAAAAATATTTTTTCATGGCCTGTACACCTCGAGTCGTGGATTTAAAAAAGTATTGTTTCTGAAGACGTGAATTTTTTATAATTTATTTCGATTAAATAATTTTCCACAATTTTAAGGATTACCCACCATAAGGGTCTTGGATTTTTCAAAATTACTTTTTAAATTCCTATCACGCTTTGATTTATGGATTTAAAACAAGTATTTTCATCTTTCGAATAACTATGTGAATCCATGTTAGATTTAAAAAAAAATCATTAAAACCACTGTCTCCCAACTCTTGACGTATGTGAAGAAAAATAATGAGTCTTCATTGACAAGTTTGCGTGTTTTGTGTGAATATATGTATTCGTGCACCTATGTATATCTGTATGTTTAGAAATACTCATGCCGCTGTGTTTCAAACTGTTGCAACTCCTTAACGGGCTTTCCTTAACAAGACACACTTTAGGAGCTCTTCTGCTCTGATGACAATTGTTCTTTTGCTAATGTTTACCTGCTGAGCTCAGGGACTTTTGCCGGGTGATGTCTATCCACAAATTCCCCAAGTGTAAATATTAACACAATTAAATGAAAGGCATTCTTTCTTTTTGCCATTCAACGAATAAATAACGACAGCAACAACAACAACAATAGCACCGGAAATCTCTCAAAAATTATGCCGCACTTGACATTTGTGTGTTACTCTTTCTTTGGCTGTTTTTACAAACAATTATCACAGCTTAATTGTCTTAATTATTTGAATAACTGTGAATACACCAATCTAATGGTTGTTTTTTCATTTTCTTCTTCCTCCTTCTCTTATTCCAGTTCAATTCAAATGATTCCAACTGCCACCAAGCTTCATTGAATACAACTACATCCCCGGGCGCGATGAGATCTCCCAACAACACCATTACTGGCCTGTCAGCAGACACAACGACATTGACAGCTGCTGCCGCGGCCGCTGCGGCTACAGTTGGCACTGAACTGCTGCAACAGCATTCAATTAATTCCATAATTGAGCAGCGACGCCAGGACTTTCTAACCCGTCACGCCAGTACAACAAGTGACGCGGCCAACACAACGCTAACCAATTCAACAAACTCAACATCGGATACCCTAACCTCAACATTAAATGGTAAGTGAACACAATCAGATTTGCATCGTCCACCTAGTCGGTCTTCGACTTCCATTGGCATTGAATCTCGTCGTTTTTTTATTCCCCTCATTGATGCGATTACGATTTCAATCGGGATGCCAATTTCATTTAAATAGTTGTTACTGTTGTTGTGTTTTTATTTATGTCGGAAAGGTAGCTCGGTCGATTTTCGTCTGTCGATTGAGAAAGGGCATTTGTTTTCAATGCAGTGGCTCCTAGAAACCACAAAGAATATTTACAATAAATTTCCCAAGTGCTTTTGGATCTATTGACGCGGACTTTGAAAGTATATTTTATAAAGAACCTTTCGAAATGGCTTTCAAAGTTGCCGTCGTGGATTTTTAAACGTTTTAAAAGATTCGAATTTCAAATACATTTTAGTGAGAACATTAATATTATCTCGTAAACATAATCAAAAAAAATTGTTTTCAAGAATTAAAAAAATCATCTGTTCTCACACCAATAGTCCGACATTTTTTGCTTTCATTCAATAAAACTTGAAAAAAAAAATGTAAAAATTATGGCGTTTGACAAAAAGTCTTATTTTTAAACCTATTATTCTAAGGATTTCCATAGTCCTGAATTTTTTAAAAAATATTTTATTTACGATTTTCACAGTCTTTGATTTTTTTATTACTTTCCGTGCTGTGGATTATTTAAACATAATTTTTCAATGAATGTTTTTTTTTTTTTTGGATTTAAACAAAATATGTTCAAAGCATTCGGAAACGTGAATAAAAAAATATCTTCAATAACTTTTAGAATTCTGTTTATTTTTTTAATATATTGTGAACGTCGTGGATTTTATATGAATATGTTTACCACGTTCTCTCGGTGACGTACAATATAATTATTTTCAAGGCTAAGCTTTCAGAGTAGAAGATATTATAAATTTTTAAAATTTGACGACTTCCACAATAGTGAATTTTTTCTTAATATTTTATCCACGATTTTCTCAGACTTGGAATTATTTCGACTTTCACACCCGTTGATTGTTTTGAATTTTCTCACGAGTTCCACTTTCTAGAATCTTTAAACATTTGTTCATGACTTACAGAGCAGTACATTATTACAGAGGAGTACATTTTGAAAAAATTCAACTTCAGCACTTTCAGAGAAAAGGTTTATTAAAAATATTTTTCTGGACTTTCAGAGCCGTGTTTTTTTTTAAATATTTCTCTAAATTTTTAAAGTTGTGGATTTTTCCAGAGTAATTCAAGACTTTCAGAGTTGAGGATTTTTTGAAATGTGTTTTATGGCTTTCAGATTTCTAAATATTATTTAAGAACTTTCCATTGTGAATTTTTATACCCTACAACACTATGTGTTGGGGTATTATAAGTTTGATTGGGCCAAAAATTATGTAACACCACGAAATATTCGTTTCCCATATAGGAAAGTATATATGGATCTTCCTAGCTCGCCGAGCTGAGTCGATCTAGCTATGTATGTCCGTCCGTCCGTCTGTCCGTCTGTCCATGTTAATTTGTAATCACTCTACAGGTCGCAATTATGGCCCGATCTTCACGAAATTTAGAATGGATGTGGGGCTGGGGTCAGAATAGAACCCTATTTCTTTTGGAGATGATGGCATAATATTTAGGGATTGAAATGGACCAAATTCTGAAAAATTGCCTGATTTTGCAGTTGCTCTACAGGTCACAATTATAGACCAATCGCGGAAGTTAGCATGGGTCTAGAGCTTAGGGCTGGGCAGAAGCCTTCCAATTTTGATGGTCATCGGGTAATATTTAGTGGGTGAAATAGACCATAACATTTGTGTTAAATAAAAGTCAAATTTGCCATTAAATCGCGAATATTTTTAATCCCGGTGAAATCAAAAATTGACGAACAGCTCAATTCTGACCGTTACGTAAATGCCTATAGTAAATATATCGGATATATATAGCGAAATATATACAATGGATATATACAAAGGAAGGGGATGTTAGCTAGAACGCTTATATCTCAAGAATGGCTGGACAGATTTTGACAAATTTTGTCAATTCAGAATGCCCTCTTGGCATAAAAGAATAAAACCTAAGAAAATCGCATAAAAAGATACCAATAATGATGTTAATATAGATTTTGTAGTATTTTGTGACATATTTTTTATTTTTTCATATTTTTATCGCATGCGATTCTTTCAATTTGATTCATAATATTTTGTAATTTTTTTCCACCTTACAACACAGGTTGGGGAAATTACATAAGTAATGCAAATATCGTCCGATCCTCACGAAAATTTTCATAAGGGTGGGGTTAGGCTCAGAAGGGCTAGGCCTATTGTTTTCAAAGATGTCCGTAATATATTAGGGGTTGAAATGGACCAACAACTAAAAATTTCCCTGATTTGCCGTTATAATAGTCACAAATAGAAACCAAAGGACACGAAATCTCGCATAAAGTTAGAGTTTAGGACAGCGGGTAGAATGGACCACCAATTTTGTGTGAAAAAATACCAGCATTACTTTCAGGCGATATCCGAAATACACAAAAGGCGAACTTCTGGCTTTTTTATGCTGACTTCGTTGACGAATATAGCCAAATATCGAAGACAAGCAAATCATATAGATGTGTCTAAATTTGGAGGTACAGAGGGGCTTCTTGCTTTTGGAGATTATTGCAAAATATTTAGGGGTTCAAATTAACCAACAACAGAAATGTTTTTCCGATAACACAATTGAAGCCAATCGACACGCCTGTGAAGAGAGTTAAGGACAGGGAAGAATTCTAGTATTTTGGATTACCATTGTATTATATTTAGGTGTAAAATGGACCACAACAAGTAACAGTCCGTCGGAGTGCATAAATATTGGGCAACTGTCCCTAGTCAAAATCCTAATTTCAAAAGCGAAATCTTCCAATATGGATTTGGACATAAGGGGGCTTCTAACATATTGTAGTGTTGTAGGGTATAAAATAGTCGGCACCGCACGACTATAGCCTATGCGTACTTGTTTTTAAATATTTCTCTAAATTTTTAAAGTTGTGGATTTTTCCAGAGTAATTCAAGACTTTCAGAGTTGAGGATTTTTTGAAATGTGTTTTATGGCTTTCAGATTTCTCAATATTTTTTAAGAACTTTCCATTGTGAATTTTTTTGAAACATATTTTTAGTTCTCAAAAAAAAAAAAATCAAAACATAAGCCGATGTGATATACTACAATATGTTGGAAGCCCCCTTATGTTCAAATCCATTTTATGTTTGAAATAATATCATAGAACCCCGTCCAGATGTTAACCTTATCTACTATTTAGGCACTTCTTCATATTGTTAGTTATTCAAAACAATTTCATACGAAAGTTGTAGTCCATTTTACAGCTAAATATAATCCAGTGGTCATCCAAACTGTTAGACTTGTTCCCTGTCCTCAGATCTCTTCTCAGGAAAAAAACTCCGTGTCGATTGGTTTTCAATTGAGAACTGTAAAACGATTTTTTGGTCCATTTGAACCCCTAAATTTACATCTTTAAAAACAATAGCCTTTAACTCTGACTCAAACCCTACCCCCTTGCAAAATTTCGTAAGGTTCGGACGATAAAAGCGACTTGTATATAATACTCAAACGCTTAGTGTTGCGGTGTTACAAATTTTATTTCGATGTTTCGAGGTGTTGTAAATTTTCCACCATAGCATGGAGGGTATATTAAGTTTGTCATTCCGTTTGTAACACCTCGAAATATACATTTTAGACCCCGCAAAGTATATATATACTTGATCAGCAAAAATTTCTATGTCGATTTAGCGATGCCCTGTCTGTCTGTCCGCCTGTGGAAATCACTCTAGCTTCCGAACGAAATGAAGTAGGTTGATAAAATTTACTCAAATATGAATTATGTCTACAGGACTTTTGGTATTGAAAATAGGTGATGTAGGTCCACGTTTTGGTATAGCCCCCATATAACAGTACCTCCCTTTTTTCGGTATTTTGGTGATTTAAGCAACATTATTCACCGGAATAGTTTCAAATTTTTTATTTGAAGTTCGTAATGAATACTACAGACTATGACAAGAAATTGGCCACGTCTTCGATTAGCCCCAATAACCAACGGCTCCTCCCTATATTCGGAATTTTGATGATTTTAGGTACATTATTCACCGATTTTTTTATCAAGTTTCGCATTTGAATATTTTATTGGTTTCTGACAAAAGCTGCCTATGCAGGTCAACATCGTCGTATTGATTTGACAGAATTTTTTTTTTTTTTTGAATATTGCCAAATTCGTTCCAAATGGTGGAGGGTATTCAAAGTTCGGCCCGGCCGAACTTACAGCTTTTTTAGTTGTTTCTAACTCTTCTCAAAGACTTTTAAATGGTGTTAACACATTTTTCAATGATTTGCCTAGACTTTTAAAGATCTTATTTTAAAAACTTTTCTGAAATTGTAATGAAGTTTTTTTTTTAGTTTTCTTTCTTTTTCATTTTAAAATAATTGTTTAGACATATTTCAAAGTAATAGTCCTATATTTTTACAAACTCATTTACTCGACAATGATATTAGAGGACTTTAAATTTTTTTTAAATATTTTTTTATATTTAGTAAAAAAATAAAATTTAAAAAGTTTCAACCAGCAATAGTTGTAGATTTTTAACTTACCTTTTTAAGGACTATATAATAACAGATTTTAGACATATTTTTTCTAAATGGATTCTCTTTTTAAATTATTTTTCAATCACAATACTTGCTGCAGTGGTGAATTTTAATACATGTTTTTTTTTATTGACCATCATAGGTCATATTTTAAAGTAAATTCAGATAACATAATTGTCATACTATGGGCCACAGTTGACCCCAAATACAGACAAGTATTTAACAACAGTTATCTTTCTCGCCACTGCCGGCACTTGCTATAAAGAATAAATATGTCTTCCATGGTTGCTTAATATCACTGCTGTTGTTTTTGTTTTTATTTATATCATTGAATAGAATATTTGGTAGTTGTTGTTCTACATCCTCTTCCTCCGCTTTGTGGTT